CTCCCATGCCCTGGCCTGCCCTGGCCCAAAATGAAAGGCAAACCCTCACCATAATCTTTGGGGAGTGGAGCAGGGGCAGAAGGGTGGACGATGGGCTTCTTCCTCCTTTCCAGGACAGGGCTCTGGTACTCCAGGGGCTGGTGGTCCCCCTCAGAGGGAAGCTCTGTGGAGTCGTCTTTGGTCATGGTTGTCCGTCCTTATTTTGTCTCTCTCTGTGGCAGATAAAAGGCGAGGAGAGGACGAAGAGAAGGTGCTTGAGCTAAGCAGCAGGAGACGCCTGGACCCCCAGCAGGATGCGAGCACGCCAGGAACACAGAAGGAACATCAGCGCCATAATGTTGAGGCACGGCACCACAACCAGCTCCCCTCACACAAGCACATGTCGCCTTCAGGTCCCCACTCATTCCATAAAAGTTTGTCAAACAGCTTTGAATGAGAGGGAGGCCATCTCTTTTCTGCTAAGGGCCATAGTGGCTCAGGACCAACCTACTGGGGGCCACATCCTGGCAGGGGGCAGGGCTGGGCCATCCCTCTGTATCTGCTTCTGTCTCCCCCTCCCCTTCTCAGCCACCTCCTGCTTCCTCCTCTTCCTCCCTCTTCTCCATCACTCTCTCCCTCCTTTCCCACCTTTCAGGCTGGGATATAAACGGAGGATGATTGGAGGAGGTCCTGATGCAGGAAAGCTGGCCGAGGGACGGACCAGGCAGCCCTGCCAAGCCACCAGCTGCCCAAACCATTGGGACTGGAGAGTTTCCAGGAAAGGAGGACGTCACAAGTCGGACCGCGGGGAGCCAGAGGTCGCTTGCCAGCCACCACCTGGACCTTCCTAACTTTGAACAGAGCCATCTTGAGTAGCTCCTTCCCCCCCCCCTCTCTCTCAGCAGGACAACCTGGAAATGCCCTTTCCAACCAAAGCAGCATAAAAGGCTTGTGACACTTTGAACGCGGCCACTTTTGTTGGCAGCCAATGCTTTTCAGAGGCTGCAGTCCTGCCTCCCAGCCTCCCCTTTTATCCTCAGCTCTTCACCCTTACGTGGAAGTCAGCCCCTTCAAGACAGATTGGGGAACATCTCTGGGACCGCGGGCTGGCCCCTCACCAGGAGTCTGGAATTCCCTCTCAAGGGAAGCTGGCCGGGCTCCCTCCCTGCTCAACAGCCCCGCTGCAAACAAGCCGCTCTCACTGCTGCCAACAGTCTCACTCGGGAACCCCAGGGCTGCTCTGCACACTCAGTGAAACGTCTCTGCCTGCGCATGTGCGTGTGCATGTGCCTGCCGCGCATGGACAGGCAGCCAGAGGAAGAAATGGGAGCAGCGATTCCTTCTCTCCAGGAGGAGTCTGGAGATCAAGGGATGAGGCTGAAAAAGCCAAGGAAGGCTTTCTCCACCGAGCATAAAGCCTGTCCAGAGGCGGAAATGGCACGGGGTGGGTGGGGGTGTAGAGGGGGGGTGCGTGTGTGTGTGTGTGTGTGTGTGATGAGGGCCCCTGCCACGCCCACCCCCTCCTCTTACGCTCTCACCGGGAGCCTCGCCCCTCCGGCTCCTGCGGCTTTCCCTTCGCCCCACAGCCTTGGTGCGCCGGTCCTAATCGGCCTTCCTCCTCCTCCTCCTCCTCCTCCTGCTGCTGCTGCTTTCTCTCAGATGCCCTTCAGTTTCCCTGCCCCCCCCCCCCCACGCCCCCCCCGGCCCCCCCCCTACACCCCC